AGGGGGGGAGGGGAGGGGGAATCATGGGAGGTGGGCGGCTCTTGGGGAGATTTTTCTTCACCTAGGACATCCCAAATTGAATAAATTGATGGGAATTCATTCTGAGTAACTCAAAAACTTCATATGGAAAACATTTCAGGTGGTGAATTGGTGAGTTCGATTCGTTACGTCATCTGGACACCATCTGTTCGTATGCATCACGAAGGGTAGCGCTCGAAGAGCTCAACTTCAATACGGCATTTCTAGAACTCCGAACACTTCAATCATTTCTCGAACGGAATGCTTCCCCACCTAAAAAGAACGGAAAAGGATGAGCCTTCCCGTGCGCTCATGCATAGTCTCTCGGGCTCATCCATCCCTTTTGCAGCATGGCCACATTTCCATCATGCGGAAGAGATTTTGTCTGATATATTCCGATACATTCCATCATTCGAACGATAATCCGCTGTATTCCATGATAAAATGTGACATCTTTTTATAATCCTTTTACCGGTTACTCTTTTCTGATACTGAGCGATAACTAGATAAGATTCGTGTTGTTACCCCTAAATGATAATGGTATACTCTATTATATTTCTGGATACCCTTATGTGATATTCCGTGATATCTCGGTATCTTTCATTTTTTCCCTCAAGTCATAAATGTCCCGATGACTAACTTTTCGCTGAAGGCATTGAATATTAAATGTAAAAAGGCGTTTCCTGCACTTTCCGTTATTACCAAAATCTCATTGATTTGACTTTTATATGATTACTGTGGTTACCGGAAATGTCCCAGAGTACCGAAGACCTTTTCAGTAACTTACACTATACCATAAAACGACAAATAGGGAGCCCGGAGCAATTATCTGGAGATTTCAGGTGGCGGCCAACTGTACGGATCCCATAGTCTGCCCTTCAGGAAGAACTCCCAGCTCGTTTCCAGCTGGGGACAAGTTCACCTACTCTGCCTGGTTAGCTCTAGAACCAGTTCTCAGAAGACAGGTGGTCATTGAGGGCTACTTAGCAATTACTATGGTGGCCACTACTAGTAACTAGAACAACTAGTAAGTTGGCTGTTGTACGAAATCGAATCACCCGAAAAAAGGACCAAGCCTACACACTCACACAGCTGCGAATGAAGGAAATCACTCAGGCCGCAGCTGTTTCTTTGTCGAACGCATGTGTCCCTAACGTTACAAGTCGAAGGAACTACGGGGAAGGCAAAAAGGGAAAACCGAACAGCAGAAGTCTCAGAGAACTTACATCCAGGATCCATTTCGCAGATACCATCGATACAGGTGACTGTTTCAGATTCTTTTGTACATTTACATCGTATAGCATCAGCAACACTTGAACAAAGTACGACAAAATACACGAACAGCTCCCGTAAATCCATTTCCCAAGGCGAATAGCGCCCACACTGAAATTATTCAAACATATTCCAAAGGGGAAATACAATGAGTGAGACCTAGGAGAAGAATTGATTGGCAGCATTTATGAGACGGGGACTCAATACGGTGGAAACGGAACATGAGTTGAGACCATGTGGAGGTTGTGTGATGACGGAGGCGGGTTCAGTTTAGGGCCCGCCCCCACGTCATGGTTTTTGCAGGGACATAGGGGAATCTAGCCCGAGTCCGACTCCCCCCACCCCCCAATGTTTAGGCCATTATAAGCGACTGAGTACCATTGAGGTACCTAGAAGAACGTCGAGAGAATTGGACAGCGCAGACGTCCAGAACTCGCTCGGAGAAGGATTATCTGATGAGCCATCGCCAACTTTCCCCGACAGCTTCAGGCCTTAGACTTCTCAGCTAGAATTGGCAAGGGTGTTTTCGATACGGATGTTTTCGATGGCATAAATATAAACAATTCTATGATAATAAACATACCGCATATACACGTAAGAACTAGTATGTGATAAACGATAAACCACATCAAAACAAGGAAATCGGTGAATAACTCGACTACAGGCCGTGCAGTTGAAATGATTACAAATGATAAATTAATAAATAAGGTGTTGAGTAGATACAAGAAATATATCAGTAAATATGTGAGCAATAAATAGATAAACAGGCAAATAAACAAAAACAACGACTGACGCTTAGGCGATAACGGTCGCTTCTTTGCAGGTTCTGCACAGAACATGCCAATGAATTGATCCTGATCGAAGATCAACCGATGGCTATACCTGCCCTGCCTGGCCTCACTCAGGCTCCTACCGGCTATGAAGTTCTAACTTACTTTCTAGCAGAGAAATGGAGAATTGCCTCCATTTCGATTGAGCTCCGGAAAGGACCGACATGGAGGAGTTCGCCTGTGGGATCTAGCTGAAAAAGGACTCGTCCCATTTCGTAAAAGCCTAGAAACCTGGTTCCTGCTCTTCCTGGGGCTCCTTAGGTTCTCACTGTTGCTGGCTGATCATCTTTTGATTTTATTGAACACATTCACGATAGGGAGGCTGTTCTCAGTAAAGTGCAGTGTGGGATTGGAATGGTTTTTTTGTGTCCACCAAGAGAAGGAATTAATCATTCATGCTACTCTCGTGTAATTTCTGTCTTCTCTACCACTTTTTTTCATCAAAGAGTAGCTAAATTTCATCAGCGATGTTCAAGCTTTTATTTTCAGAAGTTTTGATTCTGACAGGCCCATACTTCTTTATTTATCTGGGCTAAGCCTGGGTTTCTGCCAGACAGCACAGATGACGATTTCTTTAACTCTGAAGTAAGACAGGATGGCATTCGTTGAAGTTTACTGCCCTCAGGTGTGAACCTACGCCAATAGGTACCTCCACATTCGAGTCAGAGGACGAACGTTCGGGATTGGATCGATTCTTCTCGGGATACGCCATGCCTTCGGATTTCGAAGCAGAACAGTAAAGATGAGGTGAGTGATTTGCTCTTGTTCAGTTCAGTGTTTCCAATGTCGTACACTAGCCTGGCACCCCTGGCACCAACTCGTTGACCTGAAAGGTAATGGGGGCTTGTTTAACTTGCACAGGTTCCTAAAGACCGAATGTGCGGGTTTCCTCCTACTGCTGGATGCTCTCTGGAAACAGTTTCTTTTTCCTTTTTTGGAGCTTTTTTTTT